GAGAAGTGCATGTTGTAACCAAGACAACATCAAAAGCAAGCTGACAAGAACAAAGATTTTAAAAGCCAAATTCCTAGAAAAACTGAAAACCACCTGTAGCATGAACTTTTGTTACTCCTACCAATTCGTTAGCAATCCATTTTTTTTAAAAAAAAAAACATGACTAACCATATTTATATTGTTACAGAATGCGATGATTTGTTGAGATCCGTAGATCAAAATTTGATGGGATATGAGGAACAGCCCAAAAAAGTGGATAAAAACATTTTTAAATTGTTTTAATTTGGAATTGGATTACTGAAGACATGTGTCATTCAAGCTTGCATTCAATATGGGCGATACCTGAAACAAAAAATATGATATGAAAACATAGTAAATATAGCACTACCAGCTTACCACTGTTTCCGGAATCATTCTTCTTTCAGCAACTGATTACTTATTTTAAGATGAAAAAGTATTTTGTTTTACCCTCCACGATCACCACCTCCTCGCACGCCTCTGTAAGCACCGCGTTGCATTCCTCCTCGATCAACACCACGTCCCCGAAAACCACCACGTTCCCCACCTCGACCACCACGAAAACCTCCTCTTCCTCCTCGCATTGCTCCCCCACCTGGCTGGTCGTCACCTGCATCTTCTCCACCATCTGCTACAAAGAGAAACTTTACAAGAGAACTATTTTTACTAAACTCAGAGACAAAAAGGAATACCTTTCTCACCACCATCGCCTGCTCCTCCGCCTTGATTACTCATTTTGTCAAAAGTCTCATCACGTGTCTGAAAGAGAATATGACCAGAAACTACATAAAAGAAGCTATAATAAGGGTGATCCGAAACATCATTTCAAATGATATACGAATAAAACACGATGTTTTGACTATTTAAAACTCAACTTCTCTCGCAATACCAAAACACGTGCCTAATATCATAGCACCAAGTGAATTACCAGACGGTACTAGCAGGATTACACCAATGTCTTAAGAAATTGAAAGTTCGAATTTTCAACACTTAACACAGTTAATGGACAAATGCAAATAACGAACAACTACTGCATGTTATTGTCATAAAAGTTCTGCTGAATATAAAATGAAAGAAGAAAAGTCGAAAACTTACCGGTTGCAAAGTAGTAGAAAGCTGCTCCAAAACGCCTGCTATTCGTTGATATGCAACATGTGCTGGTGCAATGGTTTCTACTTTGACATGAAGTGGTCCACCATAATGGGCATATTGCGGATCTCCACTTTGCAGTAATTCTTGCTCCTGGCAAAAAAAGTTCGATTGAATTTGCAGATTTACAGGTTATCCTCGAGCAGGGAAAATGTTTAATAACAGTCAATCAGGAAAAATTATATTTGTCCACCAGCACATATTGCTAAAGTTCTTTTACTGATATAATAAACATAAAACTTATAAAGACCTTGGCACGATCCTTAGTGGAACCACGACCAAGTACATAAATGTGACACTTAAATTGTTTCGCCATGGCCTGCAACGTTGCTCCTTTTGGTCCCAAAATTTTACCAACAAAGTTGAAATGTGGGTGCCTGAAGTTGGGAATCAGAACCTGGAAACAAATTTTTGTTAAAAGAATGCGATTTAAATATCAATTTCGTATTTCATTTCTTCTCCAATCTCAGTTAATTACCACCTTTGTGACAAAAACAGTGGGTTACATTAAATATTTAAAGTGGAAGATAAAAAATCATGTTAAATTTAACCTTCTTGGAGACCTTAATTGGTTTAGCGATGTCAACTTCGAGCCATTCTGGATCAATGGAATTTTCCAATTTATCTGCTTCAGCAGCTAATAGTCGTTTTGCATTTTTGAACTGTTCACCCCACTCACCGCCCTGTTCCATCAGTTGTTGCTCGTTATGTATTTCGCGAATCACGACCTGTAAATCATCATAATATTGAAATCTTGTGCTCGAAATCTCAAACATATTTGTTATCCTCTGCCATGACGAAATTCAGCGAACGTGGAATGACTCGAATAGCTATTTGGGTTGCAACTGACTCCTGGCATCACTATGAAATTTTAAGTAAAGGTGCGCGTGTACATATTACAGCTAAACACTAAAAGCTGAAACTTCTACCAAACACCAAACATTATTTGTACAAAGTTGGCAGAAGAACCGCTTCTTTCTTTTTTCTTGTCCGTCAGCAGATTATTAATCTGAGTAAGCAATACAATACAATTACATATGCGTTATTTATTACCACCGTTTTTTTGTTAATCTTCTGTAAAATCAATTCACAAACCTGGATTTCCGCATCAAGTGGGCTTTGAGTATCCATATAACCGTAACCACCATAACCTCCATAACCTGGAGCACCATATCCTCCATAACCTCCTGGAGCACCACCATAGCCACCAGGGAAAGCTCCCGGCGGTCCACCCTGAAATCTTCTGAAGTCAATCCATTTGTCAAATAGTGTGTATTGCCAGCACCCATTATTATATATCCAGTAAAGAAAAAAACTCATTACGAACTTACATTCTCAAATTTAGCAATCAGAGGTATTCTAGGTATCAGCATTCAGTTAAATCAAGTATGTGACCCAAAATATCCAACAGCTACTTAAATTAAAGCCTTAAAAAAAGGTAATTTCCCTAAGCGAAAACGCTTCGTTTCCTAGCCATCCATTATTTGTACTCTTGAAGTTTGACTGTCACAATATTGATACATACCGCTCCATTATATCCAGCCCCACCGCCCGCGGCATTGCCATAATGGAAGTCCGCTCCTGCTGCTGCTGCTGCTGCGGCCATTTCTTCTAGTTTTCCCCTACTTGGATGTCTTTAAACCGCGGAGCGGTTAAAACGAGCTAAAATCCGAAGAATTTAAAAATTGGGCAATTTAAACAACGTGTAAAACACGATGCTTAAAAGTGACTGAAATACAATGCAGTACGTTCCACAAAAATCGACGTTTCTTAAGAGAATCCCGTTCACCTCTCCGGCACAAGTATCGATGCATACTGCTGAAGAACTGCGCAGCAGTTTTAGTTCACGCAACGCGTTAGCACGCCGACTAGCGAATGCGTCTTGGAATGGATCTGCTTCATTCAATAATTCTAAAAAGGGCCAACCGTAAGGGAGGATAGCTAAATCCCTTCAATGCTAAGAATAACGAAACAGAGAACAAAACGAACATCTCCGAAGCTTTTCCCGAGACAGCTCGGGTACTCCAAAATGAAACAAACGCATCCCGTACCTAAAATGTTTTGCGATGCCTTCAATGCAAAAATTCATCCCTTGATCTTAACATTACTAGCAATCATTTTAGCAGTTACCGTAGAAAAAACAAAGGCTGGGATTTTTAGTAGAGATTTTAGTAAACTTGTCGAGGTTTCTCGGTTCAAAGTCTTCAAACAATAACACTCTCTACCTTCAAACCAGCGGTTGTAAAAAAAATAAAAAACTTCGGACCTACGGATCTCAACAAATCATCGCATTCTCGTTTAAGGATGTTCTCACAACATCGTTTAAGGATGTTCTCTTTTTCTGATAATTCTGGATATGTCATTTTTAAGATTCCCCTCATTCCCTCAACCATGACATTTTTTTTCTCTTTTATTATTTCGTTATACTTTCCTCGTCATATATGGTAATTTATTTCCAGAGAGCTCTCATCCATTGTGGGGTATACTTTTTATTGATTACTTTCAGGGAATTTTGAAGTTGTTGAAATGGAATAAAGAATGGAAGAGTTGCAATGGTGTGGCTTTTTTTTTTCGGGAAGAAAATACAGTGATGGAGTTCTGACTGTTAGAAGAATCTGAAGTGAGTTTGTACATCGTCTATCATATTTTATATTCTTTCTGTGTTCATGGTTTTCAGTCGAGGAACTTGCAGAACGGATAACTTTTGTAATTAAAGTCGTGATGGCGAAGAATTCAATTATAGTGAAATTTAACTGACAGGGTTGATGATTCCATACAAATTTCTTTTGAAATTGGAATAAAAATAAAAGTAATTCGATGATACCGATTTATACTCATCTTCGTAAGCTTCGGAAAGTAATGTTGTTGATGTCGATTGCATGGAATTCTAAAAAGAATATTGTCAGGCCTAATGCATCTAATAGGAAACTACGCATATAAAACAAAAAAAGGGGTTGGAACTTCAGTTATGCAACAAAAAGCGGCAAGGTGAAAAAAAAGGAAAAAATAAACTCGGACTATTTGACTTATACTAGGAATCATAACTTATTTTGCTAATGCTGTTTGCTTTCTTTCGTATCTTGCAACAGTTTTCAGTTTTAAACGTCTCACAATTCGTTGCAGGTCTTTATCCATTTGTTAAGTGTGGTCATCAAAAATTCTCTTTCCATGTCCATTCCTTCCTACTTTCTCGTTTTCTGTATTCCCAATAGTGCCTTCCTCAATATCGCAAAAGAATCGGTATGTCTTTGTCTTTTTGTTTTCAGTGTACGCAAATATAAGCACTAAAATGTGCAGCATCATCATCGATTTTTGCTTCTCCAGTGTGAGCAGGGATCCAATTCATGCTCCACCGTACTTTATGCACTTGCGATATGTTCATTCCTTTCAGAAAATTCTTTAAAAAACGATTTTTTGTTGAACTTTTTTTTATGAAGCTATCCAAAATCCTTTGTGATATTGATGTCGAAGCATTCTGCTATCTAAGGAGGAAGTTGAGACTTGTAGAAGTGCTAAAGTAATCTTTCAACGATGTGACAGTTCCATCGTTTACAATGAGCTGGTGCATAAAAGCCTTTCATGTTAAATTAACATTTTGAATTGTTTTTGACAGCTGAGCATCTTGTATGTTTTGCAAAATCTTAATTTTTTTCGGTGCATCTGTTTTTCTTCTATTTTTTTCCTTTGGTACTTTGTTGTTTTCTTTTCTCTGATGTGTCCTCATATTTATTGTCTAAGTATTCTTGATTCAAGACATAATGGACCAAGTATGTCACTGCAGGCATCCTCTTGCGTAAAATAAAAAATTTCGTTTTCAGTTTTTAAGGTTGACAATGGTGGAAACGAATATTTGGCTTTTTTATCCAAATCTGATTGGCTATCTGCGAATTATCCTAGCTGTGGTATCCTTTGAGGCTATGACCTATGCGCCATGGCGCGCAGCAATTTGTTATATTCTAAGCGCTGCTTCGGATGCTGTTGACGGATATGTGGCACGACTATATAATCAGTGTATGTTAGATCCCTGTTTGTGTATGTTTGTGTGTAAGTCGGGTTTTCTAATAAACTGAAATCTCTTAAGAGCATTAGTGTTGGAAATTTAGAATTTTGCATCGAAATATAGTCCTCATCAAAGTTGACTGAGTTCTATTGAAAATGTACTGAATGAAGTTGATGAAATTTCTGCCAAGATTAGTTTTTTTAGTTAAGAATTGTTCCATTTTTTTAATTCTGTTTTAAGCATCACGTTTTGGCGCTATGCTTGATATGTTAACAGACCGTTGTGCTTTGATGGCATTGGTAATGTGTTGCGGATGTTTCTATCCCGATTACTTGTTTTATTTCCAAATATCAGCCGTGATTGATGTTGCCTCGCACTGGCTCCATTTTCATGCTAGCGATGTGACGGGTAAATTGACCCACAAAGTAAGTTTTGAACAACAAATGCAAATTTAAGAACTAACATACATTGAGTTTAAATAATGTATTGGAAGATGTGATGCGCGTGGTTTAAGATAATAGATATCAAGCTTTTATGTTTATGAGCGCGTTTTGGAGAATATGCCTAGTATGAATGAACTGTGGAGTATATTAATACACTCCATTAGGTGAAGAGAAGGGAAAAGACTGGGCATGTTTAAAGACTTTTTGTTGTTTTAATATTGAGATCGGGATTATATTAATTTCCAGCAGTCATCAAATGGAGTTTTGCATCTCTACTATACATCTCGTCCGTTCCTTTTTATGATGTGTTTGGGAAACGAGGCGTTCTACAGCTTGGTATATATCAATCATTTCTGGTCCGGCCCAGATATTCACGGTTTTTATCTCATTCCCTTCCTAGCAATACTTATTTTCCCAGTTGCGCTACTAAAATCAACGATTAGCTTACTTCATCTTTTCATCGCTGCACAGACATTAGTAGCCAAAGATCAGGAATTAATTAAGCAAAGCAAATGAAAAATACTGTTCTTTTCAATGATTAACTTCTTTGATGTGCAGTGTTGGCGTTTTCAAAATGTTTGTTTATCTCCTCTTTAAAATACTCACAGCTTTTGCAATGGGATGCTGCTGAATTTTCGTATTTTTAAATTTTATAAGCTATGGCTTATATATCGCGGTTTCGTTCATTCTGAATTTCTTTTGACGAAAATACATTTTTGTACAGTTATTTTCCAGTTTGTATTATGAATTTTTGTTTCCTTCTTTCAAAAATATATCGTTTCAAGGCATCTGCATACTTCTTTCTCTTGTTTTGCAAGGGAATAACATAAACTCAGCAAAAAGGATTTTCTGATTAATCAAAATATATTCGATATTTATTCCCAAATTTCATAATTTAATTTCAGTTGTTGTTTAGATCAAAACCTAGAAACTTCTCATAGAATTTCAAACTTTTTGTATCACTGTTGTCATCAATAGCTGGTTTTAACAGTTTTGAGAATTGCAACCATTGTCAGCAAGACATATTGCCACTTGGTTAAAGCTGCAATCTGATATTATTCTCAGTCATCGTCAACTGTAGCTTTTTATATGTCTATTTATTACTATTAATTACTTATGTTAATGAATTGCAAAGTGATGGGTAAAAGTTATTAATAATAATTGCTTCATACTCTTTTGTGTTCTTTTTATCTTTGCTTTTGATCAAATCCGATTCAGTTTTCAAAAACCAAATTTTCCGAAATGACATTTCCAAAATTTTTATGTATCCATATTTATGTTAGCAGAATAGTGTTATTTTGTCAAGTTATATTCAAAGCGTTTAGTATTTTTTTCATACTGTTGTATATTTCATTGATAATAATTCGGTGTTTTTAATAAAATTTCATTTCTTTCCTTGCCTGAAAATATTGTGAAGTAATGATCATCATTTTTTCTGATTTCTCAGGGAATCATACAGAGATAGAGGTCACATATAGAGTCCCGACACCTAGCAACACTATATAAGTAATAAGTGATTGATTTAACAATGGTCAAATTAATTTGACTTAATGGGATGGTTACGAGAGTAAGAATAGCAACTGCAGCAACTTCCCATTATTTTAGGATTTGTACATTACAGCTACGGGATGATGTTTTCCGTCAAGACCTTTCAAGCTACTGTTTCCCTTTTCATTGGCATTTGGAACGGTGGAGAATGATTCGTTTATATAAAATGCAGTATCGAAAGAATTATACGAGAAGATTTAGTACAGTGACTGACTATATTTGAGAAGTGAGCACGATGTAATTATGTGAAATTCCAGATGAAAAGAAACAAATGAGATCCGACAATAGTATTTTCCTATAAGCTTGTTTTAAAGGTTATTTTAATACGATTTTTCGATCCAGTTTGATTTGTTCTTAAGACATTTGAAAACTTCAGTTAAATGCTGAATGACATATGTTATTCGAAAGTTATATCTCCATTTTTTGAAGAGTGACGATAACTTGTAAAATGATATGGTTTATGAAATTTCCTTAACTAAATTGCTTATATTATTCCATATTTCTTGAATGCTGTAAAATTTAATTTTTCTGAACAATTGTATGAATTTAGAAATTGTATAACGGAGATGTATGCATATTTTAAAGGTTTTAAAACAGTTAGTATATTTTGCAGCATTGCAGTAAATATTCAATACAAAAAAAAAATTTAATCTGTCTTTGAACCTCCGAAAACATGCATTAATCCCTTCATGTTGAAATTAATGGGAAAAAAATGAAATCATTTCGGATTATTTTAGGTGTCAAATGAAAATGATCCATTAATACAAGCAAGAATTACCAATCATATGAAACAGAAAAGTGCCGCGACGAAATTAAGTATAATTGGGACAGTTTGGCACCAAAAATCTTAAAATGGTCCAGAAAAGGGAAAGACAGGTAGAGTAATGACTACATTATTCCATCTGTATGTGCAAAGGTGTGATACTGTGAAGGAACATAAGTTGTCATGCAAAGAAGAGATCGCATGAGGCAAAATACATGAGGTAAAAGATCCAATCTAAAGAGTTAACTGAAAGCACATGAGCTGTCACATGTAAACAAGAGATGCGATGTATGCGACAAACGATTTAAGCGGAAAGGTATTTAGGAAGACATGAAAAGGTACAGGAAGATTTAATTGAAAATTTATATTCGATGACTCTCCAACACAGTTATGTTAATAAGGGAAAGCTATGAACGCTATTTTATCTTTTTTTATCAATTAAGTTTTTATTACAGTTAAGCAAAATTTCATATTATATCATTTACATTATCATTTTAATTTTCATTCGTTATTTTAATCCATTGTGACAGCATTTTATTCATTATTATTTCTCTCACTTGTAATTCAAAAATATTAGCGGAATATACAAAATTTTGTTTTATTCGAACTTGTTTTCTTTTGAATTGATAATCAGTTTTCATTAGTTCTCAATATTTGATCACAACAGGATCTGGTGTACATTAATTCTGTCGTCATCATCGTTGCCAACAGTTCTTCATTCACTCAATACGAAAAACGCGGAATTGTGAAATTGATGAAAGCAAAGAATTAAAATTGTTAATCACTTGTTAACAAATTATCCGTAATTATTAATGTAAAAACTATGAAAATCAAGTAAGTAAAATTTAATTAAATTTGAGATATATTCTCAGGAAAGAACTGAGTCCACTTGAATCATCCAGTTTTTACTGGATATCTCCACACACATTTCACTTATTCTTAAAAAACGAATAATTGTAAATTGAATCAAATGATGGTTGATTTTTCGAATAAATGACAATTATATCGTCATAAATAAAGTGAGAAAAATTCATTTCCTTCAAACTACTATTGGTAATTTTTCCAATGATGATCGATTTTTTTTTAATAAATGATAGTTAAAAATCCTTTTGCATATTTGATCTTTGTTTTGCTTGCTACTTGATATTTTTATTTGAAGAAAATTATTGGAATAAAAATTCATCTCATCTGTCCTTTTCCTCCATCTGACATTAACCCAGTTTTATTCTACGCGCTGCGCTAAAAAGCAATAATTGCGTGATTCGCTCCTATAAGTTTATAATTTGTTTGAGATTACTGAAAAATTGCAGTGTGTATGGTGGATGAGATGACGATCGATGTTATAATATCTCGTTAAGGTATTTGCGTATAGTTCATGTCCCAATTACGATTAGACGGAACAGCCAATCTGTTTATAAGCCTATGCTTCATCCAATAATAACTTCTTGCCCTGTTTCAGAGAGAAGTTAATAGTGCGGGCACTTATGCTATTTGTATTGGAGCCAGAAGGAGACGAGGCTATCATAACTAATTAAATTTCACTTATTATTTCTATGCTTTTAAAAGATATAAATCTTAATGAAAGTCTTCTTCAGCACTTTTGAATTATAAAGGAGTTCAGTCTTTTACTATCAACTCTAAGATAAAAATAAGGTTGAGTATTAATTTATGAGTATTTTTAAAATTCTTACTTAGTATGAACATAATAGAAAGTAATTCACAATAATAAAATGAACGCATGACGCAAAGAGTAATAATTTCAATTTTATTTTCATCTTTTTTATTTCGTTTCTACTACAGGATATTTAAAATATTTGGAAATTTTCAAAGTTTGATAGAATATATTTTTCCAGAAGCTTTAGACATGTAACTGATAACTTTAAATATGGCTGTCTAGCACTGACCATAGACCATTTGTATGATAACAGACAGAACAATTAGACTAGCTAGAATAACACGTAAGCGAATCTTACGGTTGGCGGCAGTTGGCAAGTGGCAGTGTGGCTTTGCTTCCTGTGTCGAAGAGTGCGCAAAAGCTGTGGTGACTTTCAGAAGAAGCGCAGGTTGAAAGGTGATCTATTTGATGGAGCGGCAGGGATAAAAATTCCATATTAAACTTTAAATTTATAAAATCTAATAGAACTACCAGAATTCAATTAAAATGAGCTTAGTTAGTTGCAGCATTTTGCGATGCATATTTCGTAAGCCATTAAAAGTTGTGAAATAATAATTTAAAACCTAAAATGAAACTGTGTTAATCGAATTCATTTTAAATTTCAAATGACGTCAGATATTTCAGCGCAAATTGCCACTGCTAGAATATTATCCCGGAAACTAATATTATCATTGACAATAACAAAAATCATCGTCTAACAAATATTCACTGTCATTTATTGGAGCGCACTATTCATTTTGAGTTTTGAGCTTATCGTTCTCTCTATGATAACGAAAATTAAGTGAAATTAAAATTCCTTATGGCAATTTTATCTTGCTTCGGTATTAACTGATGAATAATTGTGCATTGCTCTAATATATTGCCTTTTAACATTTTTATACTGTTCCAAAACTAATTAATAACACTTGAATTTCATTTTGTTTGAGTCAACAATTGTTGACTTCAAAAAAACCATCAATTTTCTTTTTCTCAACATTAACTTTACTTTTAGTTTTTACTCAAAAATATGTAAATCGCCTGTTAATAGCAATATTAATAATCATACAGTAAATGATATGATGTTGTTTAAACGTTATCTCTCATTTCATACTTGAAAATGGAAGAGAGTTTCAAACTGCTAACAAGTTTTTCTTTTTATCTTTTGCTGTAAAAAGTTTAATATTAAATAACTTTTTTGTAAACTACTGATTCCATTCCTCCAACTGTAGTTCAGGTGAGATAACAAAGCAGAAAACTGTGATTTATTTCGATCATTTTTAGGTTTGCAGTTAAAATCACTCATTGGCAATTTTCTTTAAGATAATGAAAGAAAACTATCCAATACACTTGGATTTAATAAAAAGAAGAATGAAAATTTGTTTTTTATTGTCTGCAATAAAAATTATTTCGATTATCAAATTCTATATATCACATTTGAAATGTAATAAAATTTTGATTTAAACAACTTCGTTTTTCTACATCTTCTAAATGAAAGCGTGCAATCCCGGCACTCTGTGGGTGAATTGTGAGTAAAATAAAGCACTATTTTTA